CCAAAAAATTGATGGCGTAATCTCAATATTACAATTTCTCGAAAAATCTGGATTCATTTTTTTTATTTTTTTAATTTTGCAATTTCTTGACTTCCAAATTTTTCGATTTTTCGTTTCTTCAATATTTCGATTTGCAATTTTTCATTTTTCGATTTTTCAGTTTTTAGTTTCCTCAGTTTTTCAAGTTCTTGATTTTTGTTTTCTATTTTTCCGCTTTTTTAAATCCCGTTTTCTCGATTTTATATCACAAATTTTCAGTTTTTCAATGTTTCTTCCGGTTATTCAGTTTTTCAATTGCTCGAATTTCCAATTATTTTTTTCACTTTTGCAATTTTGGATTTCTCAATTATCTGATTTTTCAATTTTTCAAGTTCTTGATTTTCAATTTTTGAATTTTTCAATTTTCATTTTACACTTTTTTGTTTTTTCCCTTTTGATTTTTCAATTGTACAATTTTGCAATTTTTCCATTTTTGACTCGGAAAGATGGAGAATTGAAAAATTAAAAATCGAAAAACTAAAAAATCGAGGAATTGAAAAATGAAAAAGTTGTAAATTCCAATAACTGAAAAATGTAAAAATGTAAAAGAGAACAGTTTTAAAAATAATAATTACTTTTACAAAATAAAAAAAAAAATGAAAACTACAAAAATTGCAAATCAAAAACTGAGGAAAGGAAAAATTGAAAAAACCTGAAACTGAAAAATCTAATCAAAAACGAAAAATTAAAAACCTCAATTATAAAAAATCGAAAAATTGAAAAATTTCACTTTGAAAAAAGAGAAAACCAGGACATTAAAAAACCGAAAAATAGAAAAAATGAAAAAACCGAAACGAAAAATCGCAAATCGAAAAACTGAAAAATTAAATTTGAAAATTCGTGAAATTGCAAATTGAAAAATTGCCAAATTTAAAAATTGAAACGTGAGCGCTGTAAAATCGAAAAACTGAAAAATTTTAAAATGAAAACTCGAAGAGAAGAAGAGTTACGTGCCGTAAAATTAAAGAAATAAAAGAAAAATTAGAAACTGAAAATCGAAAAATTAAAGAAATGAAAAATTAAAAAACTGAAATTGGAAAACAAGAAATTATAAAATCGTAGCATTGAAAAATTGAAATTGTAAAAATAAAGAAAATATAAAACCGAAACGAAAAATTGAATAATTAAAAATTCAGATGTCGGAAAATTGAAAAACTGAAGAAAGAAAGAAATGAAAAATTAAAGAATCAAAATATGCAAGTCAAGAGGGCTGCGGGAAAGACAACAAAAATAGCAAAACAAAAAAATTTTAATCGAAAAATTGTAAAAATAAAGAAAATATAATTGAATGTTGAATTTGTATACTAGATATCCAGATTTTTGGAAAAAAATCAAAATTGTGTAACAATTTTTCTACTCATTTTTAATTCCTCAATTTTTCGATATTTCAGTTTTGGGATTTTTCAGTTTTTTGATTCTTCAGTTTCTCGATTTTTTTCAAATTCTCTGTTTCTCGATTTTTGGATTAATCGATATTTCGCTTTTTCAGTTTTCACTTTCTCGATTTTTAAACTTTTCGATTTTCATTTTTTTTATTTTACCCTTTCTCAACTTTTCGGTGTTCCGATTTCTGGATATTTCGATTGTTCACTGTTTTAGTTCTTCGATTTTTTGATTTTTTGGTTTGTCGATTTTTCAGATTTCGGTTTCGATGTTTGAATTTTCTTCTATGTATCAATTTTTCGATATTTCCGTTTTGGGTTTTTTAATATGTCGATTTTTCAGTTTTTCGACAATTTCGGGTTTTAGACTTCTTGTTTTTTTTTTAGTTTAAAGAAATGAAAAATGAAAGAATCGAAAAATTGAATAATTAAAAATTCCAAAATCAAAAGTTGGAAAACTGAAAAATTGAAAAATTTAAACTTGAAAATTCAAGATATTACAAATCAAAAACTGAACAAACAAAAATAATGAAAAATTCAAGAATTGAATTCTGTAAGTCAAAAAACTGTGGGAAAGAAAAATAGTAAAAATAAAGAAAATGTAAAACCAAAACGAAAATTTGCAAATGGAAAATTTGAAGAAATAAAAAATTAAAGAATCGAAAAATTGAATAATTAAAAATTGAAAAAATCAAAATTTGGAAACTTGAAAAACTGAAAAACTGAAACTTGAAAACTCGAAAAATTGCAAATCGAAAAACTGAAGAAACAAAAGTAATGAAAAATTGAGGAATTGAATTATGAATTTTGAATCAATTTTTCAAATTTTAAATTTATTTATTTTTCAATTATTGGTGTTTCTAAATTTTCTGTTTCTCGATTTTTGAATTAATGGATATTTGGTTTTATCAATTTTCACTTTCTCGATCTTTAGACTTTTCGATTTTTCTTTTTATATATTTTACCCTTTCTGGATTTCTCGATTTTTCGATTTTTCACTTCTTCATTCTTCGATTTTTTGATTTTTTAATTTTTCGATTTTTCATATTTTAGTTTCTCAATTTTTCCATGTTTCAATTTTTCTTCGAATTATCAATTTTTCAATATTTCAGCTTGGGGTTTTTTAATATTTCGATTTTTCAATTTGAGAAAATTAAAAATTATGACCCGTAAAATTGAAAAATTTAATAGTGTGGAAAAATAAAAACTGAAAAATGTAAACTTACAAACTCGAAAAATTACAAATTGTGAAACTGAAGAAACAAATATAATGAAAAATTGAAGAATTGAAATATGCAAGCTGCGGGAAATAACAAAAATCGCAAAAAAAATTTAAATCGAAAAATTGTAAAAATTAAGAAAATATAAAAAGCGAAACTAAAAATTACAAATCAAAAATTTGAAAAAAAATCAAAAATAAGCAATCGAAAAAATGAATAATTAAAAATTGAAAAATTCAAAAGTTGGAAAAATGGAAAACTGGAAAAATTGCAAATCGAAAAACCAAAAAAATAAAAATAATAAAAAATTGAAGGATGCAAGTCAAAAAAACTGCGGAAGACAACAAAAATCGCAAAAAAATTGAATCGAAAAGTTGTAAAAATAAAGACAATAAAAAACCGAAACGAAAAATTGCAAATCGAAAATTTGAAGAAATGAAAAATTATAGAATCGAAAAATGGCATAAGTGAAAACTAAATAATTGCAAATCCAAACCAAAACTGCGGGAAAGACAACAAAAATCCAAAAAAAAATTGAATCGAAAAATTGTAAAAATAAAGAAAATATAAAACAAGTGAAAAATGTGAAGAAATGAAAAACTAAACAATCGAAAAAATATGAATAATTAAAAATTGGAAAATACACAAGTTGGAAAAATGAAGAAAAACAGAAAAATTTAAACTTGAAAACTCGAAAAATTTCTAATTGAAAAACCAAAGAAACAAAAAAAAAAGAAAAAGTGAAGAACTGCAATATTCCAGTCCAAAAACAGCGAAAAAGACTGCAAATCTCGCAAAAAATTAAAATCGAAAAATTGTAAACATAAAGAAAATATAAATCTAAAGTGAAAAATTGCAAATCGAAAATTTGAAGAAATGAAAAATTAAAGAATCGAAAAGTGAGTAATTAAAAATTGAAAAATTCAAAAATTGGAAAAATGAAAACCAGAAAAATTGCGAGTCGAAAAACTGAAGAAACAAAAAAAGTGAGAAATCGAAAAACTAAAATATGTATTCTACTCAAAAAGACAACAAAATCGCAAAAAAAAATTTAAATCGAAAAATTGTAGTAACAAAGAAAATAAAAAACCCAAGTGAAAATTGCAAATCAAAAAAAGTTGGAAAATTGAAAAACTGAAAAATGTATACTCGAAAAATTGGAAGTCGAAAAACTAAAGAAACAAAAATAATAAAAAATCGAAGTATGCGAGTCGAAAAACTGCGGGAAAGACAACAAAAATCGCGGAAAAAAGTTAAATCGAAAAATTGTAAAAATAAACAAAATATAAAACCGAAATGAAAAATTGCAAATCAAAAATTTGAAGAAATAAATAATTAAGTAATCGAAAAAATGAATAATTAAAAATTGAAAATTTCACAAGTTGGAAAAATGAAGAAACACTGAAAAACTTAAACTTAAAAACTCGAAACATTTTGAATTGAAAAACTGAAGAAACAAAAAAAAATGAAAAATTGAAGAACTGAAATTTAGTATTTTAGTCCAAAAAAACTTCAGGGCAGGGAAAGTTCTGTCCAAATAACCTATAATAATTACCCTTGGCGTAAAAAAAAAGGATAGAGTTCATAACTGTATTATCATCAACTAGAAATTTCATTATTTTTTTATGTAAAATTAAATCGACGAGGCATAATTTTTGTCACTTTGTGGACACACTACACATATACGTTTAACATTTTGCGTCACTTGCTGAAAATAATAATTAATAAATAAAAACAAGATATTATGAAGGGTAGATCTTTTATTAAATTTTGTATAATGTTATAATTTAGACTACCTGATATGTTTTGGTTTTATTATTTTATTATTTTATTTTATTCAGCAGCAGTATGATTGATCTGTCATAATTTTATTAATGCTATTATTTTACTATAAGATAAATAAAGTTATTAACGGAAATATCATATTAAGCGTCAGCAAGAATCCTGTCGATTCGAAAAATCACCACACACACACAAAAAACGCAATGAATAATCAATAAAGCAAAAAAAAAGTAAAGCTTTTCTGTTGTCATCAAGTTAGATAACCAAAATAACACACACAAAGTAAACAATTCTGACTAATAATGATTATAACGTCATGTTTACAACATTTATCGAACATTGTACTTTTTAATCATAAAACATGTCTGCTTGCACAATAGTGTAATAAAATAAAAGATAACAAAGTCCTGATTTCGCGAACACTTTGCAAACTTTGACGCACGAGAAAGAACTTTTTTCCTTTCCAATTTCATTTCGTTCCGCTAACGCAGACGACGCACTCCCAAAAAAAAAAACCTAAGCAAAGCTCCGAAAAAGTTCTTTCTCTTGCGCCAAGAAATTCTCCCTTCGAACTTACTTAGCTCTAAGCGCTAATTGTCTGTCGTTCGGACAAACAAATCTGTTGGTAGTCTCGCTCGATCCACAATCAACCATGTTTACCCTCTTCTCCTTTGTTTGCGAGTTTATTTAGTCTTGTTTGCTCGTTTATCTTCCCCGGTGAACTACCGCGACTCACTCGAAAATACGCTGTTTTCTCCGGGCTCCGGAAACGCCGCCGCCGCCGTCTCGTCGGCCTCCGGAACAACACTGTCGCCTGTTGATACCCACCGCCTGTTGCTCGCTCGGCGTCGCGACGACTCTCTGACGTCACGTCGATCGATATTGTTTCACACATACACACGTTTGCTTTGTCGGATTGCCAGCGTGACAATGGGAGCATACGTGTAAGGACGACGTTTCGGGCCCGCACGGAGGCTCCTCAAGGACGTGCTGCGGTTATTTGTTTCGACGGGTAATTAAAAAATGGATCGGGGGACGGAAATGTTTTCGTCTGGAGTGAATTGAAAAGGGGTGGGAAAAGTATTGAAAGTGGGGGTTCTGTTTGTTTTGGATTTCCGGATTGCGAGGAAATTGTGGAGATGCATTTCCGGGAATGGGGTGGAAGCGGTGATGGAGATGTCGTGTTGTTGTTGGGGATGGTTAGGGGAGCGATTCGAGGTGGTTTTGTGTTTACAATGTTTGGCTTAATATGGCTCAATCAGATCAAGTAAATCTAAGGATACATTTATGTTTTCTCGACGTTTCATGACCCTTAGAGTACGAAAAAATGTTTCTCCCGTTCAATCAATCAATCAATCAAAATTTATAAATCCAGTTTTACACAAATTAAATACAACAAATTAAATAACGTAAATTACTCTACTTATGGTTTATGAATCCGTGTTGAATTTTTATACTAGACATCGAGATTTTTGGGAAAAAAATCGAAATTGTGTAACAATTTTTCGATTTATTTTTAATTCCTCAATGTTTCGATATTTCAGTTTTGGGATTTTTCCGTTTTTCGATTGTTCAATTTCCCGATTTTTCTATATATTAGATTTCTCCATTTTCTCGGTTTCTCCATTTTCTCGGTTTCTCCATTTTCTCGGTTACTCAGTTTTCCGATTTTTCCATTTTTTTAATAAATTTTTCAAATATTAAATTTTTCTATTTTTCAATTCTTGGCGTTTCTAAATTTTCGATTTGTCGATATTTGGACTAATCGATTTTTCGTTTTCTCAATTTTCACTTTCCGACTTTTAGGTTTTTCGATTTTTCAATTTTTCATTTTTTCAATTCTTAGAGTTTTTGATTTTTTAATTCTTGGCTTTTTCGAGTTATACGGTTTTTCCATTTTTCAAATTTTAGTTTCTCAATTCTTCGATATTCCAATTTATCTGTTTTTCGATATTTAAGTTTTAGGACTTTTAAATTTTTTAATTTTTCGATTTTTTGATTTTTCAATTTTTCGATTTCCCGATTTTTGGACATTTTGGACTTTTCAATAATTTCTCTAGTTTTCAATTTTTCGATTCTCCAGTTTTTCGCTTTCTCAGTTTTTCGGTTCTCCAGTTCAATTTTTAAATTTCGCATTTTTCGATTTTTCAATGTTTTGATGTTTCGATTTCCAGATTGTTTAATTTATTTGATATATGGATCTCCCGATTTTTTGATTTTTCAATTTTTCGACATCTGGGTTTTTCGTTTAAAAAAATTTTTTACTTCATTTTTTTTCGATTTTTTCCGTTTTTATATTTTACCCTTTCTCGATTTCTCCACTTTTCGTTGTACCGATTTCTTAATTTTTCGAATTTTCACTTTTTCAATTCTTTTTGCTTCTACGACTTTTCGATGTTTCTATTTGTCAGATTTTCAATTCTTCATTTTTTCGATTTTGCAGGTTTTTGATTTTTCAATATTTTAGTCTTTAACATTTTAGTTTCTCAGTTTTACGATGTTTTAGTTTTCAAATTTTTCTGTTTTTTGATTTTCCAATTTTTGTCCGATTTTTCGATTTTTCAATTTTTCTTTGACTTTTCGATTTATCGATTTTTCGATTTCTCGTTTTTTGAATTCTTCAATTTCTCAAATTTTCTATTTTTCAACTTTTTAATTTTCAGTTTTGGGACTTCGATTTCTTAACTTTTTTATTTTGCAATTTTACGATTCTTAAATTTTTCTTCCCCATTTTTTGATTTTTTAATTTTTCAACTTTTCGATTTATGGATTTCTCAGTTTTTTAATTTTTCGATTCTCCAATTTATCGATATTTTAGTTTTACGATTTTTTAAATCTTAGATTTTTCGATTCTTAATTTTTCGATATTTCAGTTTTTCGATTTTTCAATTTTTCGAATGCTTAAATTTTTCAATTTTTTAATGTTTTGATTTCGTGATCCTTCGATTTTCTGATATCTCGGCTTTAGATTTTTCGACATTGCAGTTTTAGAATTTTTGAATTTCTCTGTTTCTGAATTTTTCAATTCTTTAATTTTTGTTTTTTTTTTATTTTTTTTATCCAGATTTTGATTTCCCGTTTTTTTAGTTTTTCGATTTTAATTTTTCGACGTTTCGATTTCCCCATTTTTTAATTGTTATTTAAAATTTCAATTTTTCGGCCTTTCAATTTGTAAAATTTTCAGACTTTTCGATTGTCTGATTTTTCGGCATTTGGGATTTTTTAATTTCTCTATTTCTTAATTTTTCGATTCTTCAATTTTTTAAATTTTAGATTTCCTATTTTTTGGTTTTTCAACTTTTCCGATGTTTCATTATTAAAGTTTGCATTTTTCGATATTTCAATGTTTAGATTTCCCGATTTTTTTCATTTTTACTTCCTGTTTGATATATTATCAGTTTTTCGGTTTTTCGATTCCTCGATTTTTCATTTTATTTCATTCTGGCAAATTTTCAATATCTGAATATTTCGATTTCTTGACGTTTTACGAGTGATTTTAAATTTTAAATTTTTTGGTTTGTTGAGTTCTCGTTTTTTGAATTTTTGGATTTTTGAATTTTAAAAATTTTTTACTTCGAATTTTTGATGTTCAATTGCTCGATCTTTTGATTTTTCGATTTTCTGGATTCCGAGTTTTCGAATTTTATACTTAACCCTTTCTCGATCTTTCGATTTTTCGTTGCTTCGTGTTCTCGAGTTATCGATTTTTCAGTTTTTCAATTCTTCCATTTTTCAATTTTTCAGATTTTTAATTCTTCAATATTTCAATCTTTTACAATTTGTTTTCTCAGTTTTTCGGTGTTTCAGTTTTGGAACTTTTAGGTTTTCCGATTCTTCATTTTTTCTCCGATTTTTCTATTTTTCAATTTTCGCCATTTCAGTTTTGGAATTTTTCAATTTTTCGAATGCTTAAATTTTTGCATGTTTCGACTTTTCAATGGTTTGATGTTTCGATTTCCTCACTTTTTCATTTTTTTTGATATATTATCAGTTTTTCGATTTTTCAATTTTTCGATTTCTCGATTTTTCGTTTTACATATTTTATTCTGGGAATGTTTCAATTTCTGGATTTTTCAATATCTTGATGTTGTTTTTCGAGTCATTTTAAATTTTAGATTTTTTGGTTTGTCGATTCTCGATTTTTGGATTTTTGAATTTTTAAAATTTTTGGATTTTTGACTTTTTGATGTACAATTCCTCGATTTTTCAATTTTTCGACTTTTCGTATTCCGATTTTTCGATTTTTATCTTTTCCTCTTTTCACGACTTTTCGTTGTTTTGATTTCTTCAATTTTCGATTTTTCAGTTTTTTAATTCTTCCTTTTTTCAATTTTGCAGGGTTTTGATTTTTCAATATTTGTTCTTTCACATTTTAGTTTCTCAGTTTTTCGATGTTTAAATTTTTAGATTTATTAATTTTCGATGTTTGAGTTTCGGAATTTTCAATTTCTCAAAATTTCGATTTCTTAACTTTTTGATTTTGGAATTTTACGATTCTTAAATTTTTCTTCAATTTTTTAATTTGTCGATTTTTCAATTTTCGGTTTTTCAATTTTTCGATTTCTCGTTTTTTGAATTTTTCAATTTGTGAAATTTTCGATTTCTTAACTTTTTGATTTTGCAATTTTACGATTTTAAATTTTTCTTCCATTTTTTGATTTTTCGATTTTTCAATTTTCGGTTTTTCAATTTTTCGATGTCTCGATTTTTCGTTTTATTTCATTCTGGGAATTTTTCAATTTCTGGATTTTTCAATTTCTTGACGTTTTTTTTTTCAAGTGATTTTAAATTTTAGATTTTTTGGTTTGTCGATTCTCGATTTTTGGATTTTTGAATTTTTAAAATATTTGGTTTTTCGACTTTTTGATGTACAATTCCTCGATTTTTCAATTTTTCGAGTTTTCGTATTCTGATTTTTCGATTTTTATATTTTCCCCTTTATCGATTTCACGACTTTTCGTTGTTTCGATTTCTCCAATTTTCGATTTTTCAGTTTTTCAATTGTTCCGTTTTTCAAATTCGCAGGGTTTTTGATTTTTCAATATTTCGTTCTTACACATTTTAGTTTCTCAGTTTTTCGATGTTTCAATTTTGGAATTTTCAGTTTTTTAATTCTCCAATTTATCTCCGCTTTTTAGATTTTTCAATTTTCTTTGATTTTTGGATTTATTAATTTTCGATGTTTGAGTTTTGGAGTTTTTGAATATTTCGATTTTTCAACTTTCGGTTTTCCAATTCTTCGATTTCTCGATTTTTGAATTTTTTAATTTCTCAAATTTTCGATTTCTCGACTTTTTGATTTTCCAATTTTACGATTATAAAAATGTTTCTTCCAATTTTTGATTTTTCGGTTTTCAATTTTTGGTTTTTCAATTTTTCGTTTTCTCTTTTTTTTTAGGTTTCAATTTCTCAAAATTTCGATTTTTCAACTTTTCTATTTTTCGATTCTTCAATTTAATTCAATTTTAATTTTACGATTTTGAAATTTTAGATTTTTCAGTTTCCAGATTTTTCGACATTTCAGTTTTGGGATTTTTCAATTTCTCTGTTTTTTAATTTTTCGATTCCTCAATTTTTCAATTTTTAATTTTTTTCGTTTTTTCAAATTCAGAATTTTAAATTTTTCGTTTTTAGGTTTTTCCATTTTTCAATGTTTCGATATTTGGATTACCTGATTTTTCCAAATTTTTTGATATTTTAAATTTCCGATTTTTCGATTTCTCTTCATTTCGGTTTTTCGATTTGTGAAATTTTTGGACTTTCCGATTTTTCATCCAATTTTGGCAATTTTTCACTTTCCGTTTTTTGCAGTTTCTCCATGTTTTTGTTTTTCGATTTTTTAAATGTTAGATTTTTCGACTGTTGGATGTTCGGTTGCCCCCCGATCTTTCGATTTTTCGAATTTTCGGGTTCCGATTTTTCTGTATTTCAATTTTTCAACTTTTAAAATTTAGAATTTTCCAGTTTTTCGATTCTTCGAACTTAAAA